GGAGGTCTCTCATCTAGGGTATGGGTGCCGGTTCCTTAGGAACATGGAAGAATCTGTTTCTTGCCTCTCCCTGCTTGGTGCCATGCATACCCTGGCTTTACCTCACCCTGTGAGACCTCTTTCCTGCCATCCTGGCTTCTGCCCCATGAGACTTGATGCAGCTGCTGGTTATGCTCTGCCTTTGTTGAACACAGCTGCTTTCTCCCCATCGTCTTCTCTCACACAGTATTATCCTGTCAGGGTCAGGACCACTGTGTCCTATGTGACCCCATCCTGACAGCTACACCTGGGGCCAACCTGTTTCTACAGAAAGCCACATTATGAGGTTCCAAAGATGATTTGGTGCCACCTTGGCTCCTTTGGCAGGATGGGCAAGCTAAAACTAAGGAGAGGCCAGTGCAGCCTGGGCAATTTCCTCTGGAAGTTGGCCTGGCCAGGAGGATTTCCGTGCCATCTCCTGAAAGAGAGCAGAGTGGGAAGATTGTTCTCCTGGGGCTCTGTGATGCTAGGTGTGTCTGATTTGGCCACAAGTACAGGGTCCTGGGTCACCTGGGTGGAAGTCAGCATTGCTGGCAGAAGAGGGAGCTGGGAGCTAGCTGCCTGCTAAAGTCACTGAGTGGCTCTTAGAGGCACCAAAGACCTGCTCTAGTTTTAACCACACACTGGCCATGGATGAGTTAGCATTGAGTGACCACGTGCAGGCTTGGGTTGGGAGGCACAGACACAGGTTCTGGTGGGTAGGCCTCGCACTATGCTGATACCATCTCTTTCCAGTACTTGGTGTATGCACCCCTCTGCATTCCTCTGTGGGCGTGTGTGAATGGTGTGATCTTTCCTGTCCCCATGAGACCTCCTTCCTGCTCAGATGGCTTCTCCAGAAGTCTTTGGTGCCACCTTGGCTCCTTTGGCAGGATGGGCAAGCTAAAACTAAGGAGAGGCCAGTGCAGCCTGGGCAATTTCCTCTGGAAGTTGGCCTGGCCAGGAGGATTTCCGTGCCATCTCCTGAAAGAGAGCAGAGTGGGAAGATTGTTCTCCTGGGGCTCTGTGATGCTAGGTGTGTCTGATTTGGCCACAAGTACAGGGTCCTGGGTCACCTGGGTGGAAGTCAGCATTGCTGGCAGAAGAGGGAGCTGGGAGCTAGCTGCCTGCTAAAGTCACTGAGTGGCTCTTAGAGGCACCAAAGACCTGCTCTAGTTTTAACCACACACTGGCCATGGATGAGTTAGCATTGAGTGACCACGTGCAGGCTTGGGTTGGGAGGCACAGACACAGGTTCTGGTGGGTAGGCCTCGCACTATGCTGATACCATCTCTTTCCAGTACTTGGTGTATGCACCCCTCTGCATTCCTCTGTGGGCGTGTGTGAATGGTGTGATCTTTCCTGTCCCCATGAGACCTCCTTCCTGCTCAGATGGCTTCTCCAGAAGTCTCAGTGTGGCTGTGAGTTAAGTTCTTCTCTGTTTCAGGTGTTCCAGAACCTTCAGCACTTTATGGAGGACAAAGACCCTGGGGACAACCTCTTTGATGCACTGACTGTAAGTCTGCGGATGGGCACGAGGGATCTTTGTCCCCAGTGTGTTCTGTGTTCTGACCCAGCCACTGAAGCCCCCTTCCCTTCCCC